ACCTCGGTCCTTTGCTTGGTCCGAGATCAAAACCCGCCTGCCTAGTTCCAGTAGGAGAGCTTGGTGTTGTAGCAACAAGCCTTGTACCGGGCGGCTGCGTAATGTGGCCTGGGGAACTACTCTTCGAACCGAGGTCATCATTTCCATGATCCGCATTAGTACTCGGAGGGACACTGAGCGAACGCTGACTTGGCATTCGGCTAGGCTGCTTAGTGCCAAGCAACACGCTAGAAATTTCAAGCTCCATGCCTAGGAACACCAACTGTTGCGTTGGGTAGGGATGGGACTTGTCTGATTTACTAAAGAGCCCAACTGGTGAAGTAAATCTCGTGTTAGCCTTACTTGCTCGGCTAATAACCCCTTGTTAGAGTAATGTAATAGCCAGTCTAGCTACGGATTGATGTGTACCGACGTTTGGTGAAGCAGCAGCAGCACCACCTGAAAAAAATAAAAACTTATCCTACCAGCCACAGTTTCTGCTACCGCTGGCCGCGGTAGCAACCCAAGCCAGAAACCCAGACAGGAAAAGTCTGGCTTTCCATGCAGAGCTGCTAGACTTTATCCCCGTCGATGCAAAGATAAAGAAAGAGTGAAGGTCAAGGTGAGGTGGCGTCGCCACATTACCTCGGTCACATGGTAAAATTAAAGTACACGCTTTCAGACTCAATTCGAACAAGAACTTAATAAGTAGTCCTGACATGGCAGAAATATTGGGACATACAAGTACAAATGATTCAATATTAAAACCGCCATGTTTTTAATTGTTTCCAACTTGTTAAACTAAATACAAACTTACCAACATCACTTTCTTCGCTTTCAGGTTCTGATTCTGATTCTGATTCTGGCTCTGGCTCTGGTGCAGGCTTTGCTTCTGGTTTTGGTGCTGGTTCAGCTTTGGGTTCCTTTTTTTCCTAATAAAATACATTCAAATATGTCTATAACTTAAATTCAAATGATGTCATATCTTTCACAAAATAAACATGACTAATTGTTGGCATGCAAAGATTTGGCTTTTCATGCAACTGCTTGAAACATTTAAAATCTGTATTTCTTTTCATGGTTGTCCCAATGGGCAACCACTATACAGATTTAGTTACCCCAAGACAAAACTGCCAATTTGGAGACCTGCATCAAGGGAAGCACAATATATCTAAGATCATATCAATAGCTGAATAATCATATTATTCTCAATGATATTATTTTTAATAATTTATTACATCTTGAAATAATCAATAGTCAATAACTTACGCTCCATGCTTCTTTAGGTGGAGGTGTTGATTCTTCCTTGGGTTCTGGTGGCAAAGTTGCTCCAAGGCTGAATAACATATATGAATCAAAGAAAGCTTAAAAGAACTCCCGTGTGCTGAGAGTTTTGGAGACACATTAAAAATTAATTCAAAATTACTTATACTTGAGATATTGATGGAATAGCTGAAAACTAATTATGCAAATAAGGTAACTAATATGAACAGATTTAAGTGTAAAACTAATAATGTCTGCACAATGTACCAAGTTTCATGAAATGTGAT